AATTATATATATATATATATATATACGTATATTTATATATATATATACGTATATACACATATATATATAAATAAAAATTTGAGGCCTATGGTTTTCCCATATAAGGTCTTTAGTCAACTGAATTTTCTCCCTAAACTGGTATCTCTACGTGCCTGCTTCTCTTGCTGACATGATTTTTGCCAAGGATAACAGAAAACTTTACTGGCTTTCTGGAAAACAAAGTCTTCTCAAACTATCTCCTCTAGAATGAATTCTTCCATTTACTTCTATCTGTCTCATCCTCCACTTAAAACCTTTTGTCACTATGGAGGAAACCTAAAGGAAACTTCTAGCAGCCTGGGACCCCTTGAAGAACACAGATAAAGCACCACAGGCTTCTCTTTCTTTGACAAGCTACCTGTTTTTCCTCATGAAGCCCCCAAAGTTGTGGGTATACAGGTTTTTTTGAGGTCTGAAGCTCTACTCCCTTTTACAATGAACTGCCTCTCTAGGGTTTTTAGATAAAAACATGAGTAAGTTATATGTGTGTCTACATGTATGAATATGTCTATAAATACCTTTAGGTTTTATCTACATGGTACTGCATTAACTTAAAAATAAATGCCCATGAATTAAAAAAAAAAAAAGGCTCAATATTTTTCAAGAATATGTGAATTGAGTAAATCTTTTGGTAAATATTACTAATTTAATATTGTTGGTTTAATTAAAAATACAGTCTTCTGACTTCTCAGCAAAATACTCCTATATTTAAGTTTATTGCTTTTATGATACCTGCCCAACACAGCAGTATAAAAATGGATAATAAGAAGTTTAACGTCCAATGAGTGGATTAGTGTAATGTTTCATACGATTTTATAAAAATAATTGTTAAGGATAAACAAAACAGATGTAAATGGGACACAAGTTTATAAACTTACAGTACTAAATGTTTTGTAATATGGTTAAATAGTTTATCAAATCTTTATGGAAACTATACTCTTAGATTGTTGCTAAGCTACATTAAATGATGGCTAGTCATTAAACATCTAGATTATCTCCAAATAAGATAAAATGCTAAGATATTAATTTTTAAATGTAAGTTTAATCTAAATATCTTTGGTTTCTTCACACACAGAAAACCAAAGATACCTATCTTTGGTTTCTGTGACTACATAAATATGTATTTATAAATTTTTTGCGCATGATTAATAGTTACAATTGCTTACTTCTCAGGCTTTCACTATAAATTAAGATTACTAAACACTAAAATTCTGGCTAAGATAACTATTGTTAAGGAGAGAAACAAGTTTACATACAGAGTGTACAAAGAAAATGTGTTTCTTGGTGAAAAAATTATTTTAGACATGAGGATGTGATTTCTTAAAGAAAAGGCAGTTTTGCTGAGTTTAGAGGCTAAAGGATGCATAAAATTTAAAGAATAAAATAAAAAGAAAATGAGGTAAACATAATGGATATGGGAAGTTGGAGAAAGAATAAATAAAATTGTAAAAGGTTATAAAAGGTTGACAGAAATCTTACCTTGTTTGGTCAAAGCTGACTGAGATTGAATACATCTGTTTATAAGGTTTTCTTAAAATTCGCTTTAATATTAATAATATAACACAAGAATATATATTACCTGAGCAAAGATAGTATGTATGGTGGCAAATACCCTTTTACTGTGTACACATAAATACTTCCCATGAAGTAGAAATTTCTCTAAAAAATAATGAGTTGCCCATTGTCACAAATTACCCACCCTGCACAAGAGAGAAACTGATGTTTTCATGAATGTTTGCAATTTACCTGTTAATCTACCACATTTTCTTGTAGAAATGTATTTATTTTTCCGCAGCCATAATGACAGAGACATTTTCTCTGCCTTTTCCCTGGTACCACTCCCAAAGCTAAGCCCTGGGATTCTGTTTGAAATCATGCTAAAATACAACAGACCTCAGAATCTTACCATACTACACTGTTGAAAATATAAAAGAAAAAGGAGAATTTTTAACCAATGGAATATAAACTATTTTTTTCCTGAAATCTACCTCTTTTCTCTTAGAAAACATTTGGCTTTTTCTTTTTTTACTCTTTCAGCTCTAATAATAAAATCCATTATACAATTCATGAAAACCTGAAGTTGAAAATAAGTGAACGTACATATTCAAGGTGACAAACACAGGGAGAAGTAGTGCTGACTGGAACACAGATGAATTACACTCACGTGTCAATCACTTGAGAGATTCTCCCACCCACGTACTGCTCACTAAGGTACTTGATCACCACTCTTTCAAAAGACACTGCACTTGCCCCTGTGTGGTGAATGCGTATTTTGCTTTGCAAATTTATATACTACCTCACTAGGGTGAGTCTTTCCTGTACTTTGGGATAGCTATTCCCCTTCACAAGCCTGAGAGAAACCAGAGGGCAAGATGCATTTGTGCCTTTTCCCCTCAATACCAGCACCTGATTGGCTGACCACCAATGTGTCTGTAAGAAATGAAAGCTAAGGTTGAGGGGCAAAAAATCTTAAAGTAGTTAGCTTTTTAGAGGAAGGGTATATCAGGAAACTGCTCTCAGAACGAAGGCAACCAGCTGCTCCTCTGAGAGGCTCCACCCAATACCTCAGGCTCTTCTCTGAAAGACGACCCAGGGGCTCATGTTTGCTAGACACTCCAGGAGACACGGTCCTTGTGAGTATCTTGTATTATCCCCCAGAAAGTTCTGAGAGTGGCTGAGGACACATTATCCTGCGAAGGTTGCAAAGACATTCTGGTAAGGTGTGTGGGCCTAGAGAAGACGAAAGGAGATGCAGAAAGACTTGACATCCGAGTGTCAGGTGATTACTCTTTGCTTTCCTGTCAATGTTCACAAACAGACAAATATATTATAAAGAGGTACCCATCACCCTGTTAAACAAAAGTAAACAAAATGTCACATCTGTTTTAAAATCAAATAAAAGACTAACAAAAGTAAAAATAAGAAAAAAATACACACACAAAAAAAGAGGAAAAACAAAAGAAATAAAAGACTAACAGTTGATAATGTGATTTTGGGCCGGGCGCAGTGGCTCACGCCTGTAATCCCAGCACTTTGGGAGGCCAAGGCGGGCGGATCACGAGGTCAAGAAATCGAGACCATCCCGGCCATGGTGAAACCCCGTCTCTACTAAAAATACAAAAATTAGCCGGGCGTGGTGGCACGCGCCTGTGGTCCCAACTACTTGGGAGGCTGAGGCGGAAGAATCGCTTGAACCCAGGCGGAGGTTGCAGTGAGCCGAGATTGCGCCACTGCACTCCAGCTTGGCGACAGAGTAAGACTCCGTCTCAAAAAAAAAAAAAAAAAAAGTGATTTTGAAAGGGATAGTTGGCATTTGGGAATGTGGGAAAGAAATTGGAAATTTAGAATTTTCTACAGTCCCTAGAAAGTTAGGCTGGGAGGTCAGGGATTTGAGACTCTGCTTGCCAAACATTTGAAAAATGCAGAGAAAACCAACAACGCTGTGGAGCATTAAACTAATTAAAGAACTGGCAATTAGGCTGAAGTGGCCATGGTGCGTTGGGATCCTGCCTAAGGAAATCTAACTACCACGAAGTAATTTCTTGAAAATTACTAACTTTGAGGGGGGGGGAGAAAAAAAAAAAAAAACTTAGGCTTAACCAACCACAAGCTGCCAATAAAGCTCTAATTACATAACCAGGACATTTCCACTGGATGGGTGGAAATGCAGTAAGTAACCAATCAAACTGAATCTGATCTGCTTCCTCATACCTCTTACAAAAGCCTTTTGTTCCAAGTCCCTCCTTGGAGTCCCCGAACAACAAACCATTGCTGGGTGTTCTCTGATTCATAAATTGCTGTTTGTGCCAATAAACTGTTGGCATTAATCGGTTCCGGCATTACTATAAATACCTCAAACTGGGTAATTTATAAGAAAGAGGATTAATTGGCTCATGCTTCCACAGGCTGTGCAAAAAACATAAATAACACCGGCATCTGCTTCTGAGGAGGCCCCACCCAGGATGGTGGATGGTGAAGCGAAACAGAAGCTTGGGGAAAAAAAAAAAAAGGCAAGGGGATGCTATACACTTTTAAATGATAAGCACTTCAGGGAACTCACTCACTATTGACAGGACAATACCAAGAGGTATTCATGAGAAATCTGCACACATAATCCAATCACCTTCCATTAGGCCCCACCTCCAACATGGGGATTACATTGAAATAGGAGATTTGGGCTGGAAAACACATCCAAACTATATCCTAAAGATGCCTCAATTTACGCTACCGCGGTGGCTCATGCATGTAAACCGCATTTTAGGAGGTCCCAGGTGGGCGGATCACCTGAGTTCAGGAGTTCGAAACCAACCTGGGCAACATGGCAAAAACGCATCTTTACCAAAAAAACAAACAAAAACAAACAGGCGTGGTGGTGCATGCCTCTAGTCCTGGCTACTTGGGGCGCTCAGGTGGGAGGACCATCTGAGCCCGGGAGGTGGAGGCTGCAGTGAGCCGAAACAGAAAGACACTGTCAAAAGAAAAAAAAAAAAAAAAGCCTTAATTTTTCAAAGGAGAAAGGAGGGACTGGGACCCCACGGCCCCCTGCTTCTTCTACGTAGGAACTGCAGACCCTCAACGAGGATTCTCCTCTATGGCCCTCCCATCGTCCCGCACAATCTGGAGGAGACTCGGGGTTGCGGCACAGAGGTTCCCAGAAAGGGCTCCGGGGACAAAGACGCTCGGGTTTGGGCTGCCGGCTCAGCCCCTAATCTGCAGCGGAAGCAAGTGAGGACTGAGCTGTGCCCACGGGCACTCGGAGCTGCAGACTCCAGAGCTGGCCACGAGAAGGCCCAGACCCCACCGCAGCCGGTTCCTGCCGGATTTAAACGGCCTCTTCCCCCGTCTCGGGACACCCACCCCGCACACTCACCATTTCCCAGCCTCCGGATGTTCCGTCGTCCTCCCTAGGGCTCTCCCTGTCCCTGCAGGTCACAGGGTAACAGGGGCTGTAGTAGACTCACCAAAGAGCTCCTGGAGCCGAGGAGATGGAACAGGGGAGCCGCGAACTGGGCTCGGAGCCCAGGAGCCAGGAGACAAAGGCCCCGCCATGTTGAAGAAGCCGCCTCTTCCTCTCTAGCTGCGCACCTGATTGGACAGTTTTTACGCTAGCGCCTCTGATTGGCTGCGGCTTCATGCCCCACCCACTTAGACCCTGAGTGACAGGCGATGTAATCAGACAACGGGCTGAATGAGGTAAGAGTGACAGGTTTCGGGCTGCAGCACTTTCAGGCAGAGATTTCTCCCTGTGCCGGAGGCCTGTCCCTGCCTAAGGGACATTTGTATCTAACCTTGCATACAAGATTATATCACTTTCTGATTATATTGTGTGTGTGTGTGTGTAACTTTCTGAATTATAGTCATACGCATGCTGCAGGCCCCGTCAGCATCCTGTCTTTCCCTTTAGCTGCAAGAGAGAAAAGTCCTCCAGGAGATGCAGCAGCTCCAGCTGGCTGCAGACAATGATCACCTTCACTCTCTGAAACAATTTTGGGTCTGCTTCCAATTAAATGGAGTGGCTCAGTGAGACTGATAGGTGAGGGCACCCAGGTCTCCCAAAACACGCTTTCTCAATAAAGCTGAGCCTGCCTGAGGACCTGAACAAGCATAGGGAATTAAGATGGTGCGGGGCTGTGGGGTAAAGTCAGCCAGGACAGGGCCTCCCGGTGCGCTGCGGTGTGGTGCGGGGAGGAGCCAGCCTCTTCTTTAGGGCCCTGAGCAAGTCTACTGCCCACTTGAGGCCTCTGTTCTCTTATATAAAATAATGTAGGGATGATGAACCTCATAGGGTAATGATGTGCCTCAGAGAAAAGAAATTTGAGAGTGCTCTTTTTGAGAGAAATGATGGCAAGAACAATGGTAACGGCCACTGAGTCCTCACGAGGCCCAGTGAGGCAGGTGTGGTTCCCATCACACTTCAAGTTGAGAAAACAGTCTCAGGGAGGCCTGGCTGCAGCCCCAAGGCTGCACACACAGTATGTGTTGCAGCAGGGAAGGAATCTAGAATCAGAGCCTACTGGAGGTGGTGGGGACACTGGACCAGCTTACTCACACCAGTTATCCAGGGTACCAGGTCAGTGTAACTGGGACGTAACTGTGTAAAGGGAGCATAGTCTCACTGACCTTTTCCTGGACCCTGGCAGGTGAAGACATTCAAGTTGGCCACCCTGGAGAAGAAACCAGAGAGCCCAGATGAGGCTAAAGCAGCAAAAAAGCAGTGTCCCTGTGATGGGGAGGAGCTCCTCCCTCCCAGCTGGAGGCCTACACATCTAAAGAGCAAAGGGACCTTTTTGCCCCAGCCCAACAGTCCCTGAAATGCCTCTGTAAGAGAAAGAATCAGAGTAAAGGCCTAGAACAGCTGGGCTGAGTGGATTTGGGAAATGGTGGGGCCAGGGACCACATAACATTGTGACTTGTTAAAATCTCACCACAGAGTTAACTCGGGGGTGCTTCATGTTTTTGGAGGCCAGCTAGAAGGGGAGAGAGTTGGGGAGAGGCAGCTGAGTGTCTTTGGCTTTTTCCAATGGAAGATCTGGGTAGCAGGGTCCAGGAGACAGGGGCTTATGAGATTTCAGGAGACAGGCTTTGAATGGACACCCAAAAATGGGTACTCATCCTCATCACCACCCAGTGACACTGGGTGTTGCCACCATCCTGGGCATATTTTCCAGTTATCTGGTGATGGTAGACCCTGCCAGAAAGGATTATATGGATGTGAGTGAGCCTGGGATGGGCAGGGCTGGAACCAGGATCCTGAGACTTGAGAGAAGAGAATCTAGGACTACACCCTTAGATCTCAGCACTTGGCAAACCTCCTCCCATGAGAGCCTCACGGCTGCCTCTGTGAGTTAAGGTTTCTCTTCCCTATGAATGTTGAAGTCTCCACACCAGCCACCATTCCCTGTTCCCTGAGTGGTGGAGCTGCAGAGCTGCCTGCTTGCAAAGCTCAGTGAGGTTTGTCCTGAGCTGGACTCAGATTCTCCCTCAGGAAGGAGAGTAAACTTAGGCCTCTCCAAGGGCAGGCAGCTCGTATATGGCTGAGCACTTTTTTAATGCAAGGTCTCAGTTTTTCTGTCTGTCATCGGAGAGGGTTGGGGCAGGAGGTCCCTGAGCCTCAGTTCCCGTTGTCCCTTTCTTTAAAACCCTGAACCTGATGCAGACCCAAGTCCTGCTTATGCACATCCCTGACCCTGGTGGCCCTGGAGGAATGCATGCGGTATCATGGGAGTGGGAGGAGACTTAGTCACAGTCTAAGGGGCCTTTCTGATGAACACTGCCTATCTGACTTCCAGGGAAATGCGAATAACACCCAGAAAGAAAAGGAAGGTGAGCAGCTGGGGTAACATTGGGGGACAGTGGGGAGGTAAAAGTCAGAGATGCCCCTGGGGAGGATACTCCGTGTAGCTACCTTTTTTTTTTTTTTTAATTAGAATCTCACTCTGTCACCCAGGCTGGAGTGCAATGGCACTATCTCCGCTCACTGCAACCTCCACCTCTCAGGTTTAAGGGATTCTCCTGCCTTAGCCTCCTGAGTAGCTGGGATTATAGGCATGTGCTACTGCACCCGACTAATTTTTTATATTTTTGGTAGAGACGGGTTTCACCGTGTTAGCCGGGCTGGTCTCAAACTCCTGACCTCAAGTGATTGATCTGCCTCAGCCTCCTAACGTGCTGGGATTACCGGCATGAGCCACTCTGCCCACTTAACCTTTTCAATAAATCTAAGATTGCAGAGGATGGAGCCTCTGCAATCTCAGATTTAGATTCCATCCTCTGCATCTTAGATTTATTGAAAAGCCCTGGTCCACACAGAAGGAGACCCATCACAATGGAGGGTGTGAGTAGGGGACTGAAATAAAAAACCAATTCCCGGAGGAGGGGCTGTCTGTATCCAACTCTGAAAACTGCTGGGGGCCGCATGGCACTAGAGAAAGGAAGAGGCCCTTAAGAGGAAAGCCCCAGACACCAACCCGTTCCCTCTCTTTCCCACAAGGTGCCTTCAACATCTGTCACCCAGGCCCGGTTAGTAGGAAATTTACTCTCCTTCCATTGGCACCACCTGAGGGAGAGTCTGAGTCCAGCTCAGGACAAACCTCACTGAGCTTTGCAAGCAGGCAGCTCTGCAGCTCCACCACTCAGGGAACAGGGAATGGTGGCTGGTGTGGAGACTTCAACATTCATAGGGAAGAGAAACCTTAACTCACAGAGGCAGCCGTGAGGCTCTCATGGGAGGAGGTTTGCCAAATGCTGAGATCTAAGGGTGTAGTCCTAGATTCTCTTCTCTCAAGTCTCAGGATCCTGGTTCCATCCCTGCCCATCCCAGGCTCACTCACATCCATATAATCCTTTCTGGCAGGGTCTACCATCACCAGATAACTGGAAAATATGCCGAGGATGGAGGCAACACCCAGTGTCACTGGGCGGTGATGAGGATGAGTACCCATTTTTGGGTGTCCATTCAAAGCCTGTCTCCTGGACCCTTCTACTCACATTCTCCACTTGTCCTTCCCTTTAGTTGCAGGAGATCAGAGTTCTCCAGGAGATGCAGCTGCTTCAGCTGGCTGTCAACAATGATCACCTTCGGCCTGTGGAGCAATTTTGGGTCTGCCTCCAGTTAATGGAGTGGCTCAGTGAGACTGAGAGGTGAGGGTCTAGCAGATTGGCAGAGGGCATGGAGAATATTTATTCTGGGCCGGCTGCCAAAAGCCTGTGGCCATGGCTCCCTGATCACTGTTAGGCCCTGCTGCATTGTGACCCCTGGGGCCCAGCACTCGGCTGGGGAGGCACTGGGAAGGAGACCTGGCGGGGCAGGAGGGGTGGGGGGGCTTCTACTAGCCTCACATGTGCCTCTCTGTCCTGGAGCTACCTGTCCTGCCAGCTGGCTCTCTTATCCAAATAGGTCAGCAACACCACCCTCAAGGCCATGGAGAACATGCCATGATGAATCTCCGGGGACATTGAGTGCCTGGACAAACAGGAGCAAAGTGCCTCAGGGCTCAGTGACATTTGGGCTAGGCATGGGCTCCCAGCTCCACCACTGACCAGCCCTGTGACTGGGGCAGAAAATTCACTGCTGTGGTACTTGAGGCCCCACTGTCATAAATATAATGCACACTGCCTATTCTTTTTTCTCATATATCTGTTTATTTATAATCACCATGTATTACTGATCTCTGTGTTTTTATTAAAATTAATAAGCATGTTATACAGTTTTTATCATTCTTATGGTTTCTTTGCTATGTGATTCCTCTCATGTGTGGTACTTAAGAGTAGTTAAATCCATAGAAACATATAGGAGAGTGTTCCCCAGGGGCCAGAGGGAGAATAACAAGGAGCTGCTGTTTAATGAGTACAGTTTGTTTCAAAACGTGGAAAATGCTTTTTGTATATGGAAATGATGGTGGCAAAATAATGGGTGTACTTAATTCATCTCAAATAAAACCTCTAATATGATTAAAATAGTTAATTTTCTGTGTATTTTAACATAATATATAAAATTCTTTTAAATTTTTTCGTTATTTTTTAAGAGACAGAACCTCACTCTGTTGCCCCGACTGGAGTGCACGAGTGCAACTGTGGCTCCCTGCAGCTTTGAACTCATGCCTCAGCCTTCTGAGTAGCTGCAAAGAAAGGCACATGCCACCGTGCCTGGCTAATTTTTAATTTTTTTGTAGAGAGAGGGTCTCACTCTATTGCCCAGACAAGTCTAAAATTCCCAGCCACAAGTGTTCCTCCCACCTTGGCCTCCTAAAATATTTTAGGCTGAGCACGTTGGCTCATGGCTGTCATCTCAGTGCTTCCGTATCTGCAGCAGCACTGATAATATTACCAATACCATGTACAAAAGAAAGTAGATGCAAAACATACTACGTCATGTCATTTATGTGAAATCCAAAAAGAATACAAAAATTCAGGTTTGGTAATGGTGGAGTAGCTTGTTGAACAATACCCTTTTCTTTTCAATCTTTTTTGAGACGGAGTTTCTGTCTCGTTGCCCAGGCTAGAATGCAATGGCATGATCTCAGCTCACTGAAACCTTCACCTCTCAGGTTCAAAAGATTCTCCCACTTCAGCCTCCTGAGTAGCTGGGATTACAGGCATGTGCCACCGCGCCTGGCTAATTTTTTTGTATTTTTAGTAGAGACAGGGTTTCACCGTGTTTACCAGGCTGGTCTCCAACTCCTGACCTCAGGTGATCCACCTGCCTTGGCCTCCCAAAGTACTGGGATTACAGGTGTGAGCCACCACACCCAGCCTGAACAATACTCTTACAAATAACAATGGTAAATTCTGGATACAATGTCATATATTGTTATATAGAAACACACATCTATATATCCTACATATGATATATGTGGGAATAAGAACTGAATGAGAATTTTAGCTGTGCCCATGAAAAGGAGAACAGTATTTAAATTTGAATCCAGACAAATTAACTCCGTCTTCAAAAAAATAACAACATTCTTCAGAGGAATACAACGGAATCCAGAGTCTCTGTAAGTATTGTTTATAGTTTTTAAAATAAAAGTTTAAAATTTAAGAAACATGAGAAGAAACACAAACGTGTAATCCATACACAAGCTAAAACATAGGCATTAGACGCTATCCGCAAAATGTCCAAGATGTTATCGGCAGTCAAGTATTTGAGAGCAGCTATTAAACGGGGTGAAGAAAAATATTCTCATAATGAATATGTGTGGAATCTCAGCAGAGAAATGCACATGATCAAAAATAACCAAATAGATAATCATATTTTTAAACAGTACTTTTAGGTTAATTCACAGATTAGAAAAAGACAAAATGATAGAAATTATTCAATCTAAAAAAAGTTTTGGCTGGGCGCGGTGGCTCACGCCTGTAATCCCAGCACTTTGGGAGGTCGAGACGGGTGGATCACGAGGTCGAGAGATCGAGACCATCCCGGTCAACATGGTGAAACCCCGTCTCTACTAAATACAAAAAATTAGCTGGGCATGGTGGCACGTGCCTGTAATCCCAGCTACTCGGGAGGCTGAGGCAGGAGAATTGACTGAACCCAGGAGGCGGAGGTTGCGATGAGCCGAGATCGCGCCATTGCACTCCAGCCTAGGCAACAAGAGCGAAACTCCGTCTCGGGGGGGAAAAAATAAAGTTTAAAAAAATTTGAAGAAAATAAACAGTGTCTTAATCTGTGGGAAGATTGTGTTGCAGAAAGAGAAGAAAGAGACAGAAAAATTAAATGAGTACAAAAGTAACAACTAATAGCTGAAAACTTGCAAAAATTGGTTAAAACCCCAGTTTTTATATCCAAGCAGTCAACAAATTCCAAAAAGAAAATCCAAGTAAAACCTTAACAGGCCATATTGTGATTTTACAAACTGGCAGGACAGGGCTTTTGATTGGCTTTCTATGATTTCTAATTTTTACTATTTATAATGAAGAATGTTTACTGTTTATCATGGAAAACAGACTTTCTTTGAGAGTCTTTATCTTGGAGAAAGTTTCGTATCTGAGGCAGAGATGACTAAAGTGTTATTAAACGCAGAAGACTTTCTAGCCTTGTTTTACAGTTTTCATCTCTTACCTTAGAAATAAATTTGTTTTTTACAAATCTTGTAGTAAAAGCGATTCTCCAGAAAGATGTGCTCAGGATATCCTCTCCTGCTGTATCCTCTCTGCACAGAATTGAAGCTGTGCGTACTTCAGTTTCAGAAGTGGACAGTATGAATTACCTAATCTGAAAAACTAAAAGAAAAACACGAATTAAGATAATTACAGTTACGCTCCTTCAGCAAATTACTACAAATTACTAAAAGTGGTTCCACAGAGATATTTAAAAGACTTTCTAAGGGAGCCCTATTCAGGGCGAAAAGACATTTTACACGACCTCAGTACACAAACTTTCTTAATGTTTTGGGGGAAACAAACGGTCCTGTTTTGTCCTCTTGGCCCCAGTTAACACCAGGAAACCTGATTCCTGGGAACCAGCCTGTGCGGGAGTCACAGAGGTGGTAGACGTGGCTCCCAAAGTGGCTTAGAGGGGTCCCTTCTCTGTGTGGCTGAAAATCCTGACCCTATAAAGGAGTCAGGCCTTTTTTCTGTGACGTTTTCTCCTCTTTATTACAGTGGCAGGAGCATCCCTGCGAGAGGCCTGACCCAGGTGTGTAGGCCACGCAGCCAGCCCGGAAACCCAACAGCGTGTTCTTGGGTTGCAGAGGATTTGTGACAGTCCAGACAGAAAGGAAAAGGTGGCTTTGCAGGGGCAAGTGCAAAGATACCCGAGGTGGGGTACTGTCGTTTTTGGCAGTTAACTGACGGTTTCACTTACCAGGGAGCTCCCATCAGGGGCTCCCAAAAGGCCTGACAACCGCTAGGCCCGCGGGCCATTACCTGCAGCTTTACAGCGGGCTGCACGGTGCGTGTCAGCAGCGGCGTGGGACAGAGGAAGGGGCAGGGATGCGGGAACGGACGCGGTGACGGAAGAGAAGGTGTGCGCTGAGCGGCGGGAGGGCAAACCTAACCACGCGACCCACAGCGCGGTGTGAAAGCCTCCCGGCCCCTTGCAGATTTGTGAAAAGTCAAACCCGCCCAAGTCACGACGGCAGCATCTCGGGCAGGGGCCGCGTCACACTCACAGGTTGAGATCTGCTGCCCAGGCCGCGCTGGCTCCCGACAGGCAGGCGAGATTTGGGAACAGCCAGGATCCCCTCCGCATGGGGTACCCGCTCTACACGCGCGGGGGGGCGGAGTCCAAACGGATGCCATCAGTGCATCCTGGGGGCTGTAGTCTCTTAACTGCTCCTCTCCCGTTGGTGGCAAGGCGACAGTATTACAATCCCAGCATGCGCAGGGCTGAGGGCGGTGCGAAGCCCTGGAAACGCGGCGGGGCGTGCCTCGCTGTGCATTCTGGGAGTTGTAGTCTCTTAACCGCCCCTAGTCCCTTGGTTGCAAGACTGCAGGACTACAATCCCAGCATATTCCGGGCTCGGGGGCACAGCCTTTAAAAAGAGAAGCGGGGCTCTGCGCACCTCTCCGGGTTTGCAGGTGTTGTCTCTCCGAGACGTCCCGGCTCTTTGGCAGCCTAGCTCCGGAGTTACAATTCCAGCAGGCACCGGGCTCAGTGGGAGAGGCAGGGTGATGTGGACCTGGCAAAGCAGGGCTGCCAGCCCATCCCCTGCTGCCCCTGTCCTTGGGGGCTGAGTTTGGAGAGGGGCATGAGGGATAAATCTGGGCTGGACAGTGAGAAGGGTGTGACTCTTCGAAGTACACCCCGCTTTTGCCCAGATCTCGGGGGTCCCACCTCCGGCTGAGCAGCTCGGTTTCCTCTCTTTATCCTTACCCGCTGGTCTTTCCTGCAGCCCAGGGAGCCGCCTGCTTTCCTAAACTACCGCCTGAGACCTTGTACTTCGTGCCACGGCCTCCGCTTACTGTAGGCAGAGCGCCCGTTCAGCAGCGTTTGGGAGAAACTGGCAGCCTAGGCCACCCGTGTGCGACTTCAGCGTTGCAGTGGGTGACGGCTGTGGTTTGGTGACAATGTCAACCTCACCCCTTTTTCATGGAAGTGGAAGTTGAGACATGATGCTACCCTCCCTAGCCCAGTTACTGGACACTGGCCATATACTTACCTTGCTGAAACCCCCATGCTTATTCTCTCCAGTGAAGCTGTGGAGAATTCAACTTACTTGTCAGTCTTCTCATTCGGATGTTGCTGGACTGTTTATGAAGCTGGGAATCTTGTCTTTAGTCCCGTCAACATTATTTTTTTCCTGTATTTTGAAATCTGATATGTTTATTTTTTTCTTTTTTGAGACAGTCTTGCTTTGTCACCCAGGCTGGAGTGCAGTGGCAAAATCTCAGCTCACTGCAACCTCTTCCTCCCGGGTTCAAGTGATTCTCCTGCCTCAGCCTCCTGGAGTAGCTTGGGCTACAGGTGCCCACCACCACCATGTACGGCTAATTTTTGTATTTTTAGTAGAGATGGGGTTTCCCCATTTTGGCCAGGCTGGTCTCGAACTCCTAACATCAGGTGATCTGCCCGCCTCAGCCTCCCACTGAGGCATGATCCACTGCGCCTGACCTCTGATATTATTTTATTAATAATGTGGAGTTATAGCCACTTTCAAATATTAGTGAATTTAGGCTGGGCGTGGTGGCTCATGCCTGTGCCACTTTAGCCTATGCGACAGGGCAAAACTGTCTCAAAGAAAAAAGAGTGAATTTAACTCTGGCAACAACTCGATGAAGTAGAATAGATCCTCATTTTACTGACACCCATAGAGGGTGAGTCATTTCATTAACGTCACACAAGTTTTTGATGCATTTTAAATCTTAACCTAGAAATCTTCTAGGCGATCTAAGCCTATTCAACTTTGTTTCTCACTGCCAGTGTCCTTCAGGGTACAAATCTGGTTCTGACTGCATTTTCTCATCATTGATACAAAGCTGGCAAAAAAAAAAAAAAAAAAAGCTTTATG